GTAGACGAAGAAACAGTGGAGTAGTAGTAGTAGTCGTAGTAGTAGTAGTAGTAGTAGTAGTAGTGATAGTAGTAGTAGTAGTAGTAGTAGTAGTAGTAGTAGTAATAGTACCGTCGTCGTCGTAGTAATAGCAGTGGTAGTAGTAGTAGGTGTTGTTGTAGGTTTAGTGGTGGTGGTAGAACTAGTAGTAGTGGTGGTAGTCGCTGTAGTAGAAGTAGTCTTTGTCAACGTCGCCGTAGTAGTGGGAATTGTAAAAGCAATAAAGAATAATCGCAGCAGGCGTACCAATAAGAGTACCAGAAGAAACTGAAGTATACATCGTAGTCGCCGTAGCCGTCGTCGTAGCCGTTGTAGTGGTAGTGCGAATATCGTAATCCGAATAGCGAGGGTAGAAATAGTAGTCGCAGTAGTAGTAGCAGCAGTCGTAGTAGTAGCAGTAGTAGTAGTAGTAGCAGTCATCGGAGCAGTCGTACTAATAATACTACTGCTAGCCGTGGTCGTAGTAGTAGTCGCAAAACTGATAGTAGTAGCGGTAGCAATAATAAAAATGATAGTCATACAAAAAAAACAAAAATTTGTAGGTCTGGTAGTCGTAATAGTCGTAATAATAGCCGTAGTAGTAGTAGTAGTCGTAGTAGTAGTAGTAGTAGTAGTAGCAGTAGTAGTAGTAGTAGTAGTAGTAGTAGTAGTAGTAGTATTCTGAGTAATGACAGTAGTACTAGTAGTTGTTCGTAGCCGTAGTAGCCGTAATAGTATTATAAGTAGCAGTAGTAGTAGTATCAGTAGTAGTAGTAGTAGCAGTAGTAGCAGGAGTAGTAGTAGTAGTCGTAGTAGTAGTAAGAAAAATAGTTGTGCTCGTGATCGTGCAATTCGTAATGGGTGTACTCGTAGTAGCAGAAGTAGTAGTACTAGTAGTAGTAGTAGTAGTAGTAGTAGTAGTAGTAGTAGTAGTAGTTGTAGTGGTGGTGGTGGTAGTAGTAGTAGTAGTAATAATACTGGTAGTAATAATAACAATAAGAGTAGTAGTCATAGCAGTAGTACAAGTCGCAATAGTAGCCGTAGTAGTACGTGGTAGTAGTAGAAGCAGTTGTAGTAGTAGTCGTAGTAGAAGTCGTTGTAGTAACCGTGGTAGTTGTTCTTGTAGTAGTCGTAGTCGTAATCGTAGACATTGTAGTATTCGTAGTAGTAGTAGTAGTAGTAGTAGTAGTAGTAGTAGTAGCAGTAGTAGTAGTAGTAGTAGTGGTGGTGGTGGTGGTGGTGGTGGTGGTGGTGGTGGTGGTGGTGGTGGTCGTAGTAGTGATAGTAGCAGTAGTAGCAATAGCAGTAGTAGTAGTAGTAGTAGTAGTAGTAGTAGTAGTAGCAGTCGTTGCAGTGGTAGTAATCGTGATAGTAGTACGAGTCGTCGTCGTAGTAATACTAGCAATGAACAGAGCTGCAAGAGCAGAACTAGTAGGAGTAGTAATAATAGTAGCCTTTGTGTCTGTAGTGATAGTAGTCGTAGGAATAATAATATTAGTATTTGTTGTCACAATTGCAGTATCAGTTACGTTGCAGTAGCAGGTGTAATAGTGGTGATACTTGTACTGCTACTACTACGACTACTACGACGACTACTACTACTACTACTACTACTACTACTACTACTACTACTACTACCACAACTGAGCTGCTGCTACTACCACCATGACGACTATGACCACTACTACTACGACGAAGACGACGACGACTCCGACTATTTCTAATACTACTACCACTACGACGGCTGCTACTAGGAAGAGAAGGAGGAGGAGGAGGAGGAGGAGGAGGAGGAGGAGGAGGGGGAGGAGGAGGAGGAGAAGCGAGAGGAAGAGAATGAGGATGAGGAGGAAGAGCAGGAAGATGAGGGAAAAGTGTAACTCCCCGCGGAGAGAAACATAGGGGGATGGGACCCAACACTAAGCACTTACTGATGTTATTGAAGATGAAGGGGCGACGAAATCTGGGGAGATATTATGGCCCTGGTCATGATGTCCACACTCGCCTAGTCCTCACCCCCCTCTTGGACGCCCCCGACTTCCTCTGACATCTGCCGATGCAACTTGTTTCAATCCGCGGCCCCAGAACTCCCGACCGACCCCTTCCCCATGGCATTTTTTGTCGTCCCGGGTCCTCGGGACCGACAACGGCCCCCGAGGGCCGAAAGCAATAAAACGCACCTGGATAGAACACAGTTAAATCGTCGGAGGTCTGGAGACATTGGTACTGCCCGGGGCAGGAAGCGAAAGGCCCTCCTCCCAAGAAGCCCAGCCGTGGGGAGAAGAGGTGGCGCGGAGAGGCGGAGAAGGAGGAGGGCAGGAGGATGAGAAGGAGGGAGAGGGAGGAGGAGGAGGGAGGAAGAGGAAGAGGAAGAGGGGGAGGAGGGAGGCGGAGGAGGGCGCGTGGCCTCCACGCCCTGCAGCGTCTTCTCCAGCCTGTGGCCAGCCCCCCCTCCTCGGTGTCCCCTCCTCGGCTTCCTCGGCGTCCCCTCCTCCTCCCTCCTCCCTCCTCCCTCCTCCCTCCTCCCTCCTTCTCCATCCTCCTCCTCCTCCTCCTCCTCCTCCTCACCCCCTCCTCCTCCTCCTCCTCCTTCTCCTCCGCCTCCTCCTCCTCCTCCTCTCCTCCTCCTCATGCTCCTCCTCTCTTGCTCCTCCTCCTCATGCTCCTCCTCCTCCTCCTCCTCCTCCTCCTCCTCCTCCTCCTCCTCATGCTCATGCTCCTCCTCCTCCTGCTCCTGCTGCTCCTCCTCCTCCTCCTCCTCCTCCTCCTCCCCTCCTCCCCTCCCCGCTCTCCTCCCTTTCCTCCTCTCCTAGCTCTCCTCCCTCTCCTCCTCCTCCTCCTCCTCCTCTCCTCCTCCTCTCCTCTCCTGCTCCTCCTCCTTCCCCTCCTCCTCCTTCCCCTCCTCCTCCTCCCCCTCCACCTCCTCATCCTCCTCCTCCCCTCCTCCTGCTCCTCCTCCTCCTCCCTCTCCTCTCCTCCTTCTCCTCCTCCTCCTCCTCCTCCTCCCTCCTCCCCTCCTCCTCCTCATCATCATCATGCTCCTCCTCCTCCTCATGCTCCTCCTCCTACTCCTCCTCATTCTCCTCCTCCTCCTCGTCCTCCTCCTCCTCGTCCTCATGCTCCTGCTCCTCCTCCTCCTCCTCCTCGTCCTCCTCCTCCTCCCTTGACATCCTCGGATCGTGTAAACAATATCCCAGTGCGACCCTACCTAGGAGATGGAGCCCCTAGGAAACCAGCATTAGTAGTAACAGTAAAGCTAAGCTAAAGCTTAGCTACAGCTAAGCTACAGCTAAGCTACAGCTAAGCTAACGCTAAAGCTAAGCTGAAGATAAACTGAAGCTAAGCTGAAGCTAAGCTGAAGCTAAGCTGAACATAAGCTAAAGCCACATTAAAGCTAAGGTCAAGCTAAGGTCGAGCCAAGGTCAAGCTACGGTCAAGCTAAGATCAAGCAAGGTCAAGCCAAGGTCAAGCCAAGGTCAAGCTAAGGTCAAGCTGAGGTCAAGCTAAGCTAAAGCAAAGCTACAGCTAAGCTACAGCTAAGCTAACACTAAGCTACAACTAAGCTAAAGCTACGCTGGGGCTAAACTAACGCTAAGCTACAGCTAAGCTAAAGCTAAGCTGAAGCTAAGCTAGCGCTAAGGTAAAGCTAAGCTAAAGCTAAGCTACAACTAAGCTAAAGCTCAGCTAAGCTAAAGCCAAGCTACTGCGAAGCTAAAGCTAAGCTAAAGCTAAGCTGAAGCTAGGTTACAGCTAAGCTAAAGCTAAGCTACAGCTAAGCTAAAGTTAAGCTAAAGCTAAGCTAAGGCTGAGCTAAAGCTGAGCTGAAGTTAAGCTAAAGCTAAGCTAACACTAAGGTACAACTAAGCTAACACTACGCTACTATAAGGTAACGTTAAGGTAACGCTAAGGTAACGCCATGGTAACGCTAAGGTAACGCTAAGCTAATGCTACAGCTAAAGCTAAGCTAAAGCTGAGCTAAAGCTAAGCTAACACAACGCTAAATATAAGGTAAAGCTAAGCTAAAGCTAAGCTAACGCTAAGCTAAAGCTAAGCTAAAACTAAAGCTAAAGCTAAAACTCCCAGGGGACTGGGGGAACCGCGGGGCGGATCCTAGGGGAACCGACCGGGGCGGGGAGCACTGCCCGGCCCTTTAAGCATACAGGGTAAGAACCCTTCTAGGCAGAGCCTAGGTCGGGAAAAACAACACGGCGAGAATGGTTTGGCAATTTTCAGCATGCGGGGGCGCTCGCTGGGCCCCGCCCGGACCGTCGAAAAGCGGCTCGCGGGATGAAAAACCGGCCGTCGGGCCATGGGGAAGGGCTGGGTCTTCTTGGGGCCCGCATGGAAAAATCTACATCGGACGTCGAGGCCTCCTCCCTCCTCCTCGGCCTTCCGCCGCCCTCCTTCTCGGTGTCCCTCCGCTCTCCCCCCTGCCCTCTCCTGATCCTCCCTCCCCCTGTGCTCCTCGTCCATCCTCCTCATACTCCGCCGCGACAGCGGCACGATGCGAAGCTGAGGCGAGGCTAATCCGAGGCTTCACCTGAAGGAGCGCTATCATTGTGGTTTCGAAGTGGCGGACACAACGTTGCACGACACAGGCCGTATCATCCAGGCACGAGCACTATGCTCTGGCAGCTTCAAATGCAGCGAGAACACTGGCTTCGCCGATGATTCAATTGGAACTATAACCACGTGCGAGCTTCGCAAGCTTAGGTTCTAGGCCGACACAAGCACAGGGCTCGTGCTGAAACCATGGAAATGGGGAATGCATCTGAGAAGCGATGAGTCACGGAGGACGCGAAGTCAGTCTGATTTGTTTTTTTGTCTTTTTCTTCGGGGTAGGGCTCGGCACGGATCTGAAGACGGCGGCCCACGACTCCGAATCGCGGCTCTGCCTGTCACCACGCGGTGCCGCGCGACGCCGTGGCGCGCCGCCGCAGGCGCCTCTCCCGGCGCGGCCGCGCGCAGGGGCGCTCGCGGACGCCTCACAGCCGCAGCACGCTGGGGGCCGACGGCAGCGGACGCGCCTCGCTGGGCTCGCGGCCGTACCCGAGGCCGTCGAAGTCCGCGCGGTAGAGGTCCACGGCGTGGCGCACCGCCGCGGCGCCCCAGAGCGCGGCCGCGGGCGGCGCCGCCGGCGCCGAGGCGCCCGCCTCGTTGGTGCGCGGGAACGGCGGCAGGCGGGCGCAGTGGGCAAACTCCGTGCACAGGGTCCGCTCCAGCCGCCCGAGGTCCGCGCCGAGGTCCTCGACGCGCAGGAGGTGCAGCGGGGCGCCCGGGGCGGCGCCCGCGCGCGAGCCGTTGGCGCCGCCGAGGCTCTCGCAGAGCTCCGCTTCCGGGAGCAGCTGGGGCGACCGGATCGCCTCCACCTGGGGTCGCAGGTGGTGCCTGAGCATCGTATAACCGATCCCCATCCCCACCAGCGTGGGCTGGGTAGGCCCCACTGGCCGGTTTACCCCCCCAGATGGGGACACAGGCCGTTCCCTTCGGGTTTCGAGGGGTGCATCCCCAACTGAAGTGGTACTTTGGTGGGGGTCTCGAAGGGGATGAGGATGGGGATGGGGATCGGTTAAACGATACTGAGTGCCAGAACCAGGCGTTCAGGAACTCGGCCGCGGGGGGCACTCCAGGCAGCACGCGCGCATCGCTCCCCGGCGCACCCGTGCCGCCGAGCCGGCAGCGCCGCTGCCGCTCCGACCTCCACCGCCAGAGCTGCACGACCCAGGGGCCGAAGGCGGCCCAGGTGCCAAGCGAGCGACCTGGGCCGCGGTTTGGCAGCCACACGTTGGCGAAGAACGAGGCCAACCGCCTGAACGGATTCCGCACCACGGCCACGCGCAGCCTGCGACTCCCGGGCCAGCAGCAGGTCGGGCTGAGGTGCGGCGGCAGGCCGACGAAGCGCGGCGCAAACGCCACGAGCTCGCCCGAGGCGGCGGCCACCTGCGACGCGCGGGTGCAGTTGAACGCACGCAGCGCGGACTCCCAGCCCAGGCCCGGGTCCGGGGCCAGGAGCCACTCCAGCAGCCCAGCCTGTCCGCCGCCATGGCTCCTCAGCCGCGCGCGCACCCGCTCGATCAGCTGGGACCACCGCTCCGGGAGCCCCTCCAGCTGCGCCGCCCAGCCCCTCGCTGCTGTGGACGCCGCCTTGGGGGCCGCGCGTAGCGCGACCGGCGGAGCGGAAGGGCCGTGGGGGCAGTAATACTGCGCGTCGCAATTGCTGGTCACCACCGTGCCGCGCGCCATGCCGGGAATGTCCTCCAAGAGCAGGAGGCAGTCGTTATCCCCGACTGGCCGGCGCTGCTCGAGGCGGTCGCACAAAGCCGCCCCGCCCGCGGCGGTGGCCTCCTCGCACCCGGGCGGCCCGTGCCACGTGCGCAGCACGACATCCGATGAGCACACGGCCCTCGGCCGAGCCGCCGCCGCGGCGCACAGCACAGGCGCCGCGCACAGCGTGCCCACCTGCGCGTGCAGGCAAGCCGCCACCGATCCCATTGGGGAGGTGTGGGAGGATGGGCCGCATTCAGGGTCGACGTGGCATTGGCCGCAATGCCTTGAACCAAAATGGCAACGGAAGTCGGTCGGAATGAGGAAACATGGAGAAAAGAACAGGGGGAAGGGCGAGGGGAGAGGTCCAAGGGTACACGAAGAGGAGGAGGGAAGGAACAGGGATGGAAGCAGGATGGCTGGGGATACGAGAGACCAGGGGTGAGAGAGCAAGGATAATGGGAGGAGCGACGAAATAGCCAGACGATCGAAGAGGAGGTATCACCAAAACGGCGTTGAACGGCCTCCTGCCTAGAGGGGCAGACGCCTCATAGTTGTTTGCGGCAGAAACTGAAACAGTCGCAAACTCTGAACATCACTTCGAGGAAACGGAGCAGAACAACATCACAAAGTCTCAAGGCCGTGGGCCTCCATCGGCGCCGTAATTCATCTTCTGCCGCGGCATAGGATTCTCAGAATGGCAGGGGCCCGTCGCCCGACGTGGCGGGATGGCCCTCTCGCCGAGGCCGAGGTCCTGAAGAGACAGGGTGGAGCCCTGCTCTCGAGAAGACGAGCGCTCGCAGGAGGAGGAGGAGGATAATCAGGAGGAGAAGGAGGAGGAGGAGGAGGAGGAGGAGAGGAGGCCTGTGGGAGGTCTTTTTGGGAGCCTCTGGCGCTTTCTTGGGGCCCTCGTGCGCCGTTTGGGGAGCCTGTGTGGGGGGCAGGCAACCAGGGACTGGTGTCTCGTCTCGGAGTGTCTGAGAGGTGGATTGGGCCCCCATGCGGTTGTCATTGGAAGCATCTTCGGGGCTTCTGGAGACTAATCAGGGGTTCTTGGGGTCTCTCTTAAGTTGACTTGGCGCGAATTCGGGCTCGCTGGGGACCCTCCTGGGCCGTCTTGGCGCTCTCCGAGGCAGCTTTTGGGCCTCTCTTGGGCTTCTCCGAAGGCTCTTGTTGAGCACCTTGAGGCGATCGTGCGGTGATTTTCTGTGTGGCGGCTGGGTATGGGTTTGGTTGACCCAAATGGGCGTCCAGCTGAAAGGGAGTGGTGCAATAGGTCTGGGTCAATTTTATGGCGAATGTATTGGACCAGATAATTCGATAGCAGTGTATTGCAACTGACGTATTGCACGCGAAAGCCAAGCAATGCATTTGCGCACCGGAGTGCGTTGCACGTCCCAAATCTATTGCAACGCCACAAACCTATTGCGGCAGATATACTGCACCACCCCCTTTTCGCTGGGCCCCCTTTTGGGCCAACCAGAATGGGGGAAACGGGCCTTGAGGGACACGGGTCCTGGACCCATGGTTTATGCTGCTCCCATCGTACTCAAGGACCACATCCCAGAACCGACTTCGAGCACCCAGAGTATCGAACCAGTGTCGAGCGAGTATCGCCTCCCAGGGCCCGACAGGTGCATACCCACCAGTTTCGGTACTTCCTTGGTGCTCGAAATTCTTCCTGGTGGGCCAGGCTAAAACAGCGTGGAGCCATCTTTGCCCGAAGCGGGGGCCCGATTTCCGTGGGCCCGCGCAGCACGGTACGCCTGGCCCGGCGCCGCGCGCTCTCCCGCCCCCCCCGCGGAGCGGAGGCAAGCACGCTTCGAGACGGCGAGGATCGCCCGTCGCACTGCTTGGCTTCGTAGAGCGAATTTAGACCGTTTCGATGATTTTTCTTCAATCGTGACCCATGGTGCCTTCCCCGTGCTGGACGCCCGAAGTGGGCACGGGAAGATGGGTACAATGTCCAACATCAAATGTTGTCCCAAACCAACAGCGGCCGCTGTTGGGCAGGCGGCCTTCTGTCTCAAATAAACACAGGCCGCGGCGACACCGACAGCGAGTCCTGTTCAAAATGAACAAGAACTGCTGTTGGCAATGGTACCCATCTTTTCCGTACCCAATTCGTTCGTGCCGACTCGTGGGCGACCTCTCGCTTCTCATCCTGAGCTGTCTTCGGGCGGCCCATGGGGCACGTGCAGGACCCCGAAGCCCCGAAGCGACGAGCACCTCGGGACCCCTGCCTTCCCTCGGGGCCCCGTCTTCCCCCCCTCGCCATCGCTCGGACGCCCATGCTCCGTGCATGCTCCGGTGCCGCGCGCACATTTTCCGCAAGCTGACCCAGGACGCTCCTCGTCGATGGCACTCGCCGAGAGGGAGTGCACACGTCCGAGCGATGCCAAGCCCATGGGGGCGGTCGGGTGCGGCCAAGAGGGGGACATCCAACGGGGGGGGGGGGGCGCAAATCATGGCCTGCGGCATGTGCTGCGCGGCCCAGTGGGGGGGGCCAGGGACGCAATGAAACAAGAAGAGCCGCCACGAAACCTGAGGAACTATCCTGGCCCCCGCCGCGATGTCCCCCCCCGCCCCCTGGTCATCACCCCCCTCGTTGCCGCCCCTGGCCCGTGGCGGCGACGGCGCACGGCACGGGCCTGGCGACCGACTCGCCCTGCGCCTCGCGCTGCCGCCGCTCCTCGGACAGCGCGTGCTGCAGCCCCTCTGGCCGCGCGCGCGCGCGCCGACCCCGCGCCCCGCCCCCGCCCCCCCCCGCCGAGGGCACCAAACTGAACTCCATTCTGCCACGCTGTGGCACACGCACGGTGGCGGGGTTTGCAGCAGGCAGCTGGGTACGCATCGGCGTGCCACAGAACTGATTCCCCAGGGCTCCACGCACGACGTCTGGGGACGATCGCATGGCTCTCCTGGAGGCCTCGGGAACGTGGCCAGGACTCCACAAACTTCCGACATGGCCTAAGATGGTCGCTGGGCCCTGGACACGTCCTGGGGACCTCTCGGGCACATCTTGAGGTGTCTTGGAGGCCCTGGAGCCGGCCCAAGGGTCCAAAATCACTGAAAAGCAATATGTGTGTGTGTGTCTGTGTGTGTGTGTGCGAACTTGGCAAGCTCGACGTTTCGGCTCTACGAGCGCCCAAGACTGACCAGACGGCCACCAATACCGCCCCAGGACGGGCCCACACGAGGGCCCAAGAAGCCCCCAATATGGCCCCAACAGAAGCCCAAGAGGGGGAACTCGAACCGACATGTCGACAGTGCCATTTCAGGACGCCCTCAGAGAACACCAGGAGACCCCCGAGAAGCCTCAAACGGGCCTCCAAGAGGCCTCCAAAAGGCGCCCCAAAAGACCTTCAGCAACATGTAAAATGCCTCTGGCCCGCAATGCGGGTACGGCTGTGGGTTTGGCCGAAGGCCTCTAGATATAGAAGTTAATGCGGCAATGTTGCACGAAAGAAACATCGGAAGCGGCCAAGGGGTCTGCGCTGCATGGGCACCGAGAATATATATATATATATATATATATATATACACATATATATATATACATATATATAGTTTGTTCGAGGCGACGAGGGGGCCCTTGCCCACCCACCCCGTTCTGCTGGCCGGAACCAGGGTTACCTCACCCCCCCAACCGGCTCTAAAGGAAAGACCCGTCTGTGACAGGTGGATCTGTGAGAATTGCAGTTGAATTCTTAGCCGTGTAGCGCATGGCGAGACGCCAAGTTTCGAAAGAACTAGCTTGAAGCTTCAGCCTTGAGCTCGAACTTGGACTGAGGAGTGACGCTGTTTCGCTGCCAGAGCTTGAGCAGATCCCTATGATCATGCGTGCGAGCTAGTGAGGAGGTCAGGGGAGGTGCGAAGCGCGCAGCGCGGGCCACGACGACGACGATGACGACAACGGAACACTTGCTGTTGCATTGCAATTTGTGTTGCTGTGCAATGGCTTGCGCATTGCAAATTGTTTGGTGATGCAACATCTGGTCTGCTCCGGAGTCCCGCTGCTCCGCTGCCAGGGCTTGAGCTTATGCAAACAATTCTGCATGCCAGCCGACTGTGGCTGGAGGTCCAGGGAGGTGCGCAGCCCGCAGCGCCAACCACGACGACAGGTCGGGCCGGCTCGGAGTCCCGCTGCTTCGCTGCTGGATCTTTAGCTGATGGTTGCGACTCCGCGTGCGAGAGGGACGTGGCTTGAGGAGGCCGGCCCAGTGAGGTGCGAAACGTGCAGCGCCAACAGCCACGACGACAGCCACAGCTGAGCTTGTGCGTTGCATGCTGTTTGTTGTCGTTGCAAAAGCTGCAATATTATGCAATTGTGGTCTGCTTCGGGGTGTCACGGTTTCGCCGCTAGAGCCTTAACTTACGCTGATGATTCCGTTTGCGAGCCGAATCTTGTTTGAGGAGGCCCTGGGCGGTACGAAGCGCGCAGCGCCAACAACTACGACGACAATATCACAATCGCGTTTGCATTGCAATTGTGTTGCGTTGCATGTTCTGGCGATGCAATGTTGGCCTGCTTCGGACTGCCACTGTTCCGCTGCTAGAGGCTAGATCTCGAACTTCTGGTTGTGTAGGATTCATCGTGCGAGCCGAACGTGGTGTGAGGAAATCCAAGGAGATACGAAGCGCGCAGCGCCAACTACCACGACAGCAACAAAGGTGTTTTGCATTGCAGTGTTTTTTACATTGCACTTTGCTCATTGACTTTGTTTGTGCAACTTGGGTCTGTTTCAGAGTGCCGCTGTTCCGCTGCCAGAGCTTGAGCTTGTGATTCCGCATGCGAGCCGAATGCGGTTTGAGGAGGTCCAGTGAGATGCGAAGGCAGCAGTGCCAACCACACTGACAGCAACGCAATACTTGTCGTTGCTGGTAGTTTTGTATTGCAATTCGATTGCAGTGCAATTTGGGTCTGCTTCGGAGTGCCGCTCTTTCGCTGCTAGATGTTGGTCTGGCTGGTCTGGTTGGTCTGGCTGGCCTGATTGGTCCACTTGGTTTTCATCCTGACGTCGTGATGGTCTGGCTGGTCTGGTTGGCCTACTTCGCTGGCTAGCCTTGCTGATGATGCTTGCCTGCTTGGTTCAAGCTGCTTGCATTGTCGCTTGTTCTACCTCGCCGTGTTTGATCTACTTTCCTTGCTTGAGTTGCTGATCTTTGCTCGCCTGGTGATACAGGTCGTGGGAGCGCCCATCTTGTTGGTTTGGTTCGATTCATCCGATTCGTCTGGTTGGTCTGGTCGGCCTGGGCGGCATGATCGGTCCGGTTCGGTTGGCCTGGTTGGTCGAGCTCGCCTGGCTCTGGCTGGTCTTGGCTTGATTGGTCTGGTCTGGCTAGTCTGGTCTGGTCTGGTTGGTCGAGCAGATAACCTGGTTGCTCTGGTCTCGTACATCCGACTGGTTCGGTTGGTCTGGCTTGGTTCGTTTTGTTGGTGTAGTTCGTCTGGCTGATCTGCTCGACGTGGTTGGTGTGGGCTGGCTGTTCTCATATCTGCTTGGTCTTGTTGGCTGGTCTGCTTGGTTTGGCGTGGTTGCTCCCTCTGATTGGTCTGGCTGGTCCAATTGGTCTGGTTGGTCAGTCGGCTGGGTTTGCTTTGATCCGATCTCGGTTTGTTGGTCTCATCGGTGTGGTCGCGCAAATGTTTCCTCTGGTCTGGCTGGAACGGTTGGTTTGGTTTGCCCGGTTTCGCTTGGCTGGCCTTGGTCTGGCTCACCCTGGTTAGTCGAGCAGTTGATCTGGTTCGCCTGGTCTGGTCTGATTGGTCTGGTCTGGTTGGTTGCTTGATATTGGTTGGTAGGTCGATTGGCTGCTATACCTGGTCTGGCTAGTCTTGTGAGTTGGCTGGCTTTGCCTGGTCTGCCTGCTCCTCAGAACTTCCACAAAGACGAGCAGCAGAAGGAACAGCAGCCATGGAGGAAAAACATGACCGGCATTAACGCCCAGAGGAGGATCAATCCGACGAGGATCAGGAGTAGGGGAGGATCCTCGTCAGCAGCCATACCAGTTCTTATGCCCCGAAGCAGAGTAAGGCGCTGGGGCAAAAGAGCTGATAGCCTTGAGCGGCTTAGGATAGTAAGCTGCGAGTGTCAGGTAGTCAAGGCGATCGAGACGACCACCACGACGACGGCCGCGCAGAGATGCGCCTCTATCTGGTAGCCGAGCTTCTGGACCGACTGGGAATGCTGCTCGGCGTGGTCCTCACCACTTGCATCGTCGCCGTCGCCGAGAGAGGAGAAAAGAGACAAGGAAGGAGGGAGAGGAAGCGATGATGCGCAGGCGCAGGGGTGGGCTTTTCTCTTCCTCTTCCTCCTCCTACACCTCCTAGTCCTGCTCCTCCTCGTCATCATCATCATCATCATCATCATCATCATCATCATCATCATCATCATCATCATCATCATCATCATAAACAACATCAGCATCAACATCAACAGCAGCATCATCATCATCATAATCATGAGCATTATGAGCATGGTCATCATCGTCATCATCACCATCGTCATCATCATCACCATCATCATCATGATCATCAGCATCATCATCGTCATCAGCATCATCACTATCATCAACATCATCACCATCATCATCATCATCATCATCATCATCAGCATCATCATCATCATGATCAGCATCTTCATCGTCATATCATCACCAACATCATCGTCGTCATCATCATCACCCTCACCGCCACCACCACCACCATCATTATCAGCACCATCAGCACCATCGCCATCATCATCATTATCATCATCATCAGTATCATCACCATGCTCATCATCGCCATCGTCATCTCGTCAGCAGCATCAAGATCATCATGATCAGCATGATCAGTATCATCGTCCTCCTCATCATCGTCCTGATCATGATCATCGTCCGCCTCATCATCATCATCATCATCATCATCATGATCATCATCATCATCATGGTCATGATCATGATGATGCTTATCATCATCAGCATCATCATAGCATCATCGTCATCATCGTCATCACAACCATCATCATCACCAGCATCATCATTATCATTGTCATTATCCTTACCACCACCATCATCGTCATCGTCGTGCTCATCAGTAGTATCAGCATTAGCATCAGCCTAAGCATCAGCATGATAACGATCATCATCATCATTATCATCAACATGATCATCACCATCAGCATCATCATCATCATCCCACATCCTCATACTCATCTTCATCGTCATCATCATCCTTAGCCTCATCATCACCATCAACATCATGATCAACATCATCATCATCATCATCATCATCATCATCATCATCAGTATCCTCATCCTAGTCCATATGATCATCCTCATCCTCATCCTCCCTGCTTCGCATCTCCTGCCCTCCTCTATCCTCATTCTGCCCTCGCATCCTCCTGATTCTCCCCGTCCTGCCCTGCCTCCCCTCACCCTCCTGAGAACGACAAGGAAGGGAGAAGGGGAGAAGGAGGACGAGAAGAAGGAGGGAAGGAGGAGGAGGAGGAGGAGGAGAAGGAGGGAGAAGGAGGAGGAGGCGGAGGGAAAAGGCGTTCCTGTTATGGTCCGGGGGGGGGGGTGTCCGGGACCTGATGGCGACTAGTCCCCAAAAAGTGCTTGAACCAAGGGTCTGTTGCCAGCGCTCTTATACAACAACAACTCTCTTATCAGATGTTTGACACTTACTCCTGCAACTTGCATCCATCGTGATAGCCCCCACCCCTTCATGTTCCGATTATGTCATGCATCGGGTGCCCGATATTCCATCACACGGATCTACAGGCCAAGAACGTTAAGCCGCCTCTCCCGAACCACTTCACGACCTTCAGATCGCACGATACATCAACATAATCGATTCAGATTTGGTGAGCGGCGGAGGGAAGAGCACAATGAACTGACCTTGTCCCATTCAATGTGTTCTTTGGGGGCATCGCGTGGGGAAACTGCAAACAGACCACCTCACAACTAGACATAGGGACGAGGAGAACAAGCAGAAAAGGAAGATGTATCCTTGGGACATTCAAGGCCAGCCTGGGTGCTGGGACCGTTTGGGCTTTCATTCGGCAGCTTGGGAGTCTTTTGCGGTTGGCGTTGGACAGATAGCGCGCAACATCGAGCTCCGAAAAGCGCGCTATCCCTGTGAGGCAATCTCCCCTCGAGGACCCCTTCTGTGCATTATATCCCCCTTCAAGGGCCTAGTCTGGAAGAAGAAAAAGCGCCAAAAACAGAAACTGTTGGCGCTCCGCGCGAATTTCAACTTCTAGGATCTGCGCTGGACCCATCTCCCTGGCGCGCGGAGCGCGCCAGGGGGCGGCGCCGGAGGCGCCGCCAAGGGTCTCCAGCGCCGATCCCAGAAATCCGCGAGGACCTACGAGTTCGTATGTTTATGTCATTGTGCGTTCCCCCCAACGCTATCCCCACGGGTGGGGGATAGCATGAAATAAGCGGACCGGAGGCGCCACACTGCACGCTATCCTTCCAACGCCAACCGTAAGCCTTCAGGGGTCCCCTTGTTTTTTGTTTTCTAAAAAAAATCACACATATAGATATATATATATATGTATATATGTATATATATATATATGTGTGTAAGCATATATACATATATAGATGTGTGTAAACGTGTGTGTATATATACATAGAGAGAGAGAGCTTCTGGGCCCTTCCTGGTCGTGTGCGCGCGTGCCTGGGGCTATGCTGGGGCGCTTTTGGGGCCGCCCTGGCGCACACTGTTGGGCCGTCTTGGGGCTCCCCTGGGCCGTCCGAGGGCTTCCTGGAACGCTCCCGCTGCGAGGCGGGGATGTATCCATACCCGCCGCCTGGGGACCGATGTCCTGGTGCCCCAGCGGGAGGTGGACATGGATACGCGAATGCATCCGCATCCGCAGCCTTCCGAGGTCCCCGAAAATTGATCCTCCCGCCTCGAACCTCTGGAAGGAGCCCAGGGACACACCAAGAAATGCACACAAATCCAAGGATTCCCAATACTTTCCCATACTTTCTGGGCTTTCGTATTCCCCCCCCTTCCAATACCTTCCCATATTTTCCTTGTAATCGACGACTATAGAAACAACAAACACGTAAACATATACACGTTTGGCGCTCCGCGAGGATTTCTGGGATTCGCGCTGGACCCCCCTCCCTGGCGCGCGGAGCGCGCCAGGGTCGGCGCCAGAAGCGCCGAGGGGGGGCCCAGGCGCAGATCCAAGAAATCAGCGCGGATCGCCAAAAGTTTCTGCTTATGCGTTCTATTTTTCTTCGGGATGAATTGAGTCTGCGTGTTTTTCCCCCTCCTCCTCCTCCTGGCCTCGTTCTGAGGCTGCGCCCCCCTTCTACTTCCCCTTTTGTGCGTAGTTCAATCTCTGCGCAGCCCGCTTAGCTTCGACCGGAAGGAGGTGCGCTCTCGACCCGCGAATCAAAAAAGTTGTTCCCCCTCCTGACTTCTGAAGGGCTGGCAGAGGCACCTCTTCGGGGCTCTGTCGGAGATCTTCTGACCCGGGTCAATCCAGACCCGGGTCAATCAGGCCTGCAAAATCCTGCAAGATCCTGCACCCAAACCCGGGTCAATGCGAAAGATCCTGCAGGATCCTGCAGGATCCTGCACCCAAACCCGGGTCAATGCGACCCTGGTGCTGCAGGATCCTGCAAGATCCGGCGCTCTGGCTGACCCCCGTCTGCACTGACCCCCGTCTCGAGGCTCCCGACCCTGGTCAGGGGGCCCTGGCCCAGGACCTCCTCGGGCCCTCCCGGGGCCGCCCCCGGAGGCCCTCCGGAGCCGACGCCGAGGCCGAAGGCCCAGCTTCCTGACGTTGGAACATCAGGGCGCCCAGGGACACACAAACAAATACACACGAATCCCAGGATTCCCCAGATTTTATCATCAGGGTGAGGGGGCCGAACGGTCATTCATTGTCCCTGGGCACGTGGCGCAATAGGGAGCTTGTGGCAAGAATTCTGAATGTTGCGTTGTTGTTAATGTTGTTGTTGTTGTTGTTGCTGTTGTTGCTGTTGTTGTTGCTGTTGTTGCTGTTGTTGCTGTTGCTGTTGCTGTCGTTGTTGTTAATGTAATTGTTGTTCTTGTTTGCTTGTTGTTGTTGTTGCGACCCACCCCGCGACCCACCCCGCGATCCACCCGCGACTCACCCCGCGACCCCTCCGCGACCCATCTGCGGCCCACCCGCGACCCACCCCGCGATCCACCCGCGACCCACCCTTAGGGGATGAGAACCACCCGGACCCGACAATGGACGTTTACTAAACGGCTTTGGGCGTTTACTAAACACCCCTGCCCTGTTCGATTCGTGCCTTGTGTGCGTTTACTAAACGGCTTCGCTTGTAGGGGTGATTATTATGGGGTGGATGTTCTGCCCTCTGCACCCGCTGTTCTGCCCTCTGCACCCGCGACCCGCCCGCGACCCGCCCGCGACCCACCCCCGACCCAACCGCGACCCATTTGCGACCCACCCGCAACCTCCCCACATAGGTTTAACGACAAAATCTGCGCTTGCGGCGGGCTCGTTGTCAGAGTGAGGGGGCCGAACGGTCATGCATTGTCCCTGGGTGCGTGGCTCAATCAGGAATTTGTGATGATAATTATGTGTGTTGCAGTGTTGTTGTTGCTGTTGCTGTTGCTGTTGCTGTTGCTGTTGCTGTTGTGGTTGTGGTTGTGGTTGTGGTTGTGGTTGCGGTTGCGGTTATGGTTATGGTTGTTGTTGTTGTTGTTGTTGTTGTTGTTGTTGTTGTTGGTTGTTGTTGTTGTTGCTGCTGTTGTTGCTGTTTGTTGTCGTCCCACCCGCGACCCACCCCGCAACCCACCCGCGACCCACCCCGAGACCCACCTGCGACCCACCACGCGACCCACCCCGAAAACCACCCGCGACCCACCCGCGACCCACCCGCGACCCACCCCACGACCCACCCGCGACCCACCCCGCGACCCACCCCGAAAACCACCCGCGACCCACCCGCGACCCACCCCGCGACCCACCCGCGACCCACCCCGCGACCCACCCGCGACCCACCCCGCGACCCCTCCGCGACCCATCTGCGACCCACCCGCGACCCACCACGCGATCCATCCGCGTCCGACCTGCGACCCACCCTCAAGGGAGGAGAAGCCACCCGGACCCGATAACGGACGTTTACTAATAGGCCTTGGGCGTTTACTAAACACCCATGCCCTGTTCGATTCATTCCTTGTGTGCGTTTGCTGAACGGC